CCCCAAAACCCCAAAACCCCTCTTCTAAAAATAAACATGAATGCGTATCAATCATAATTAAAATCAAAGCTATGGCCTTTGATTATTTATAAGAGATTTAACTACTAATTAGCGAAATGATAAATAAATCAGTTCTTTTTAATTTGGAATTCTAAGGGTGGAGAATTTTCTTTTCTTGCAGTTAGCACTTCGACTCCATCATCTGTAATCACCATCGTATGTTCGAATTAAGCAGATCTTTAGCCATCAACTGTGGTTACAGTCCAACCATCTTTCCATGTTTAATCTTTCCAAACACCTTAATTAATCATAGGCTCAATTGTAAAAACATGCCCTTTCTATAAATATCTAAAGTTAAGTTAAATTTACTTTCATGAATCCAACAGCTTTATTCTTAGCATAATGAGGAATTTATGGTGCTTAATGCAATGTAGATCCAACACCATGACCACAAAATGATCTAACAACCGAATAACCCAAAGGTTCAGTATAATTGCTGATTATATTTCCACATTCCCTGTACATGCTTCCTGGTTTACAATAATCTATGGCCTTCATCAATGAATCATAAGTAACTTCAACAAGCTTCCTAGATGACTCACTAAAATTTCCAACTAGATAAGTCTCATTTAAATCAGCATGGAAATCGTTTTTAAAAACACTGATATCAAGATTTAATATGTCACCATCTTAAAGTGGTCTAGTATCTGGAATACCATGACAAATAGTCTCATTAATTGAAGTGCAGCAACTTCTTGGGAAACCATTGAAGTTTAAAGGTGATGGATAGGCATCATTATCAATAATGAACTCATGCACGATTCTATCAATTTCCTCAGTTGTCACTCCTACAGCAACAGCTTAATGCCCAAGATCTTGAGCAGCTCTACCAATCTTGCAAACATCTTTCAGCAACTCAAGCTCTTCATCTAATACGACAGGTACATATTTATCAGAAACCTATTTGGGAATGCCTGACTTTGCATATTCAGGCTTTTTAATATGATCTGGTATATATCTATGCCCTTTAAAACTGTACGGGAATGGTCGGAGAGGTCCTGAATATTTATATCCATCATTATTTACTACTTCCTTCTTTACATGTAGTAACTTGTGGAAATTCCAAAAACCTTTGAAGCAAATTTGATCACAGAAAAAGCTTGGGTCCAAGCTTAATTTAACGCATGTTGGACATTATAGAGTTGCTGGCTTTCTGCATTCAGGATTTTCACATAATCTTTAAACTGTATCAGAAGTTAAGTGTTCCATATGTTATGATAAAATGATATTATTATTTGATAAAGTAAATTTAAACTGAATTATTATTTATAAAAATAATAAAACTTTATGGTTTCAAAACTAGGAGATTATTGACATACTATATGAGAATTATAATTATTTTTATTTATGCTTTCATTGGGACTTAACTAACACACGGGGTTTTGGGGTTTTGGGG